TTGCCCAAGGTCACACAGCCCAGGGGGCAGACCCCATGTCTGTCTGCTTTCAGAGTTGATGCTCCCTCTACAACAGGCTGGTGGGAGCACGGGAGTGAATTAGGAACTAAAGGCAGGAGTCCATGGGTCCAGATGGTTGACAGGCCCCAGTGGGATCAAGGGGAGGGCGGTACCTGTCTAGATTGCTGCTACTCAGAGTGCGGTCCGAGGGCCAGCATCCCAGCAGCACCTGGGAACTTGGGAGGGGGCACAGCCTTAGGCCCCCGTCTGAACCTGCTGCCTCAGAATCTTCATCTTAACAAGCCCTTGAGTGACCATGCACAATAGAGCTTGGGGGCTCTGGTGAACCCGACGTCACCCTTCAGGGAGGACCTGGACCTCGTGCCACGGTGTGGCAGAAGCACTCCTCACCCAGGTTCTCCCAGGGGTCCCACTGCAAGACTGTGACCAGAGGGGAGCCATGTTTCCGGCCAACCCACCATTACCCTGAGATCCCGCGCTCAGGCTGCAGGACCCAGGGTCAGATGAGCTGAGGTCCTGCTTGTGTTTGGGGCAGGCTCCCTCTGCACTGACTGCTCTCTCCCTGTCCCCCTGCCCTAGGAGGCCTCCCCAGCTGCCCCTCCCCTGGGCACAGAGAGCACAGCCCACTTCTGGGCTTCTAGCCCCACCCACTCTCCAGGGCCCAGGGCGGTGCTTCTATCTCTCCTGCTGGGGGAGTGCTCGCTCTGTCACCAGCCTTTGCTTTTCGCCCTGTTGTGGTGAAATCTCTAACAAAACATTTGCCATTTCAACCTTCTTCACTTGCGCGGCTCAGCAACATGATGTTCGTCCCCCTGCCATTTCCAGAATTTCCCATCACCCTGAACAGATGCTCAGCGCCTCTGAGACCACACCGCCCACTTTCCCTCCCAGGAAACCACAAATAAACTGTGCTCTGCATTGGTCTGTTCTAGATATTTCAGTAGATGTGGGCCCATCACTAGTTCCCTTTTGTGTCTGACTTATTCCACTTAGCTAATGTTTGGAGGTTCATCCATGCCATACATAGCAAGCCTCAGAACTTCTCTTCATGGGTGACTAATATTCCAGTGTGTGGCTCTCCCACATTGTGTTATCCATGCATCGGTGGGTGAGCTCTTGCGTTGTTTTCTCCTTTGGGCAACTGTGAGTGATACAGCAGTGGATACAGGTGCTCACAGGCCTTGCGTACATGGAGTGGGGATGAGTGGGGTGGAAAGGGAACAGAAAAACAGGGTGCCTTCCTGATTTTTACCAATGTGTAGATTAGCTGTGTCCTTGTTACTGGCTTACTCACCAATGGCTGCATAGATTATCACCACATGCAGAAGGTATTCCAGGAAGACCTGGCTGGAAATAGAACCTTGTAATATCTCTACGACATGTCAGGACATTAGACGACGTGTAGCATTGGGAAAGTCAACTGCAAAGGAACTGTTTCAAGTGCTGAGGAGCAAGGATATCTCCTTGAGAACTAAGGTGCGCCTGACACAAGCCATGATATTTCCAATCGCCTCTTATGCATGTGAGAGCTGGACAATGAATAAGGAAGACCGAAGAAGAGTTGATGCTTTTGAGTTGTGGTGCTGGTGAAGAATGCTGAAAGTACCGTGGACTGCTAAAAGAAGTAACAGATCTGTCCTGGAGGAAGTGCAGCCAGAATGCTCCTTGGAAGCAAGAATGGCCAGACTTCGTCTCACCTATTTTGGTCATGTTGTCAGAAGGGACCATTCCCTGGAGAAGGATGTCATGCTTGGTAGGGTGGAGGGTCGATGAAAGAGGGGGAGGCCTTCAACGAGATGGATTGATACGGTGGTTGCGATGATGGGATCAAGTATAGCGGGGATTGTGGGGCTGGCGCGGGATCGGGTGGTGTTTCGTTCTGCTGTGCATGGGGTCGCTATGAGTCGGAAACGACTCGACGGCACTTAACAACAATAACAACAATATCTCTACAATGGGCTGAGGAGTTTGGGGGGGCTTTCAGTTTCTTGCCTTTTACACAGAGTGGTATAGCACATCACTTAGATTTTAAAATCCAATGCTTTTACACAATTTGGAAGGAGCTCTGGTGGTGTTGTGGTTAAAGCATTTGGCTGCTAACCAAAAGGTCAGTGGTTCAAATCCACTAGCCACTCCACAGGAGAAAGATGAGGCAGTCTACTTCTGTAAAGATTGGCAGCCTTGGAAACCCTATGCGGCAGTTCTACTCTGTCCTCTAGGGGCGCTGTGAGTCGGAATCAACTGGACAGCAGAGGGTCTGGTTTGGGCTTTGCTTCCTTAAAGATTAACAGACTTGAAACCCTGTGCGGCAGTTCTGCTGTGCCCTGCAGGGTCGCTAGGAGTCAGAATCGACTCAGTGGCAGTGGGTTTGGTGTTTGGTTTTTATCAATCCTGCACAGCATACAGCAGGGACAGGGGACCTCCATTTACTCCTGCAATAATGGATTCTAATTTTTCCATTTTCTGCCATCTCCCATGAGAAATTCTTCCAGGCAAAATGCCGCCATCTAGAAGATGAACAAAGTTCACTTCTCCTTCAGCAAGTTGTAAAAAAGCGAGGCTTGTGAGGAGGTTGGATAGCCCACCTGAGAGGAACAACTGCTTGAAGTCTTCCTGGGAGGGGCAGGTCTTTCAAGTGCAACTAAAACTGAGGCCCTGGTTCAGAGAGGTGGAGTAACTTGCTCATGGTCACACCGCAAACAGGTTGTAGAGCCCAAGTGTGGCTCTCCTCAAGGCTGGGGCTCTTTTCTTGATCAAAGTTTTTCAAACTTTCTCCCCCAAAGCCCTCTAATGGCAGAGGAGAGTGATTTTAGACCATTAGAGGGACTGGCACACAGGCTTCATGAGGAACTCAGAATGTCTTAGCAGTTTTGTGTTTCATTTGAAATTTTTACTGAAGTAAATTTTCATTCTATTATTATTATTTATTTTAAATTTTATTGTGATTTGGGTGAAAGGTTACAGAGCAAATTCATCTTCCATACAGCAGTTCAGATACACTTTGTCTTCTGACATTGACTGTAATCTACCACAATGCAACAGCTCCCCTCTCACTTCCTCCCCATAGCCCCCTCTTCCCTGTGTCCTTCCCTCCCAAGCACTCCTGCCCCCTGAGCTGTCTCCTTGTGAAATTTGCATTCTATCTCATAATACTTTGTCCTAATGCAAAAATCGTGTTTTCTCCAGGCAGAGATCTTTGAGTAAAAGACCCCTGGAAGTGGCTCTGTGTTTATACTGCACTACAAGTTCTGCCTGGAGGACCTGTGGACCCCTGGGACCTTGGCGGAGACGCCCAGCAGCCAGCACTTACCCCACACCATCCTTCATCCTCTATCCCTTGTAAACAGGGGCTCCTGTTTGAGGAACCTCTCACAGACCACCCCAAGGCCGTGCTTTTCTGAGCTTCACTCCAGGGTTCCAAAGAGCTTCCAGGGAGCACAAAACTCGGGTACTTCCATTTCACAGGTCTTGGAGGAATGGTAGCTGAGGGGCTCACCCAGACACTCAGTACCACTCAGTCTAATCCCTCTGGGATCTGGTTCCTCATCCACCTGGCTGGGCAGGCAGGAACCTCAACATCACCCTAGACCCTCTCTCTCCCTTGCCACTCCATACCCAGTCCACCATCAAGTGGTTAAAGCTTTCGGCTGCTAAGCAAAAGGTCAGGGTTCGAACCCACCAGCCACTCTATGGGAGAAAGATGAGGCAGTTTGCTTCCATAAAGATTTACAGCCTTGGAAATCCTATGAGGCAGTTCAACTCTGTCCTGTAGGATTGCTCAGAGTCGGAATCTGACGCCATGGCAGTGGATTTGGTTGTGTGTGTGTGTGTGTGCAAAGGGTTAAGTGCTTGGCTATGGTTCCAACTTGTCCAGAGGCGACTCAGAAGACAGGCCTGGCCGTCTGCTTCCCAAAGGTCACAGCCCTGAAACCCTGAGGGGCAGTTCTACTCTGCACACACTAGGTCGCCACGGGTCCTAATCCACCCAACAGCAACTAACAAGGGAGCCTCGTGGCCCTACTGTGAGGATGAAGTAAGATAATCCATGGTGAGCTTAGGCCGGTGCCTGACACATGCCAGGTCCTCCACAAATGTCAAGTGTTCCCTTGTAGTCTTCCCTGGGATGTCTGAGTCTGGTTGTGGTTGGCATCATTCCTCCTTGAGCCTTAATTGACCCCCTTTACACTCCTCCCCCACATCAACGATCAACACTTGATGGCACAGATGTTTGTGTACCTAACAGCTTACCTGGGGCCTGGGGCCCCGCGTGGGAGCTAGAAGGAGAATTACTCAACACTTGTGGGAGTATTAATACTCGTAAAACGGGGGCCACAATGCACTGGAGCCCTGACCCAAAGCAGACCCTCCAGGGGTCAGGGGCTGGGGAATGGAGCGTTGGATGATACATAGGTTTGATGTCCAGTAATAATGAGCTTGTACGCTACGTGAGTCACCCGCACCTGGTTCCCCGGCCAGCCTCATATACATCCATCCAACGCCAGAGCCATCCTGGAAATTCATTCATTCAACACGTATTAATTGGGTACCTGGACAACTCCTGATTAATGAGTTGGGAGGAGAGGAAATTTTTAGAAGCTTACAAGACACGTGCTTCCTCAGTGCCTTGTCCTCTGATCCTGAGAAACTGTACTTAGGTGACATTTTTTATGAATTTATGAGGGCCAGCTAACCTTTCAGAAGATCTCAGTCTGCAGTTTTTGTCAAAAGTGCTTCAGCCTTTACAACCCAGGACCTGTCTTTCTGGGTTGGGCGAACTCCTTTGCTAGTTAAAAGCTTTCTGTGTGTTTAAAAGGGGGAGGTACCCTGTCAAATAAACCCTACAGCATAGGCTGAAGCCACGTAAAGTCCCACCCACTTTCTGTGACGTCTTGAGTCCCGATCTCTGATTGCCCGCTTCAGACGTCAATCGCGGGGCGTGCGTCTTCCTGGGACACATTGGCCGTCTACCCTCCGGTTTGCGGGGTGGTCGGGTGTATTCTCCGCACGCCCCCACGGTCTCGAGGCCGCCGCCCGACCCAACCGCAGAGCTGGCCAGTGCCTCCGCGGCGCCCTCCCGCACCGGATCGCTCCTCGCTGGGGCGGGACCTGCCTCCGGTCACTATGGTCAGTGGTCGCGGGGGGAAGTGGGGAAGGGGAAGGGGGAGCGGGAGCGGGGCGCCGTGGGCGGGGTCGCCACCCGAGCGTCGTCCCCGCGGCATTCAGACCCTCGGGAACACTGAGTCCGGGAGATGCCGGGGGACCCCGTCCTTCTTCGGACGCGCCCCTGTGGACGCCCAGCAAAGGGGAGCCAGCCCAGACCCCAGGACCCCCACCCCCAGCGCGTCCGTCCCGGGTGTCCCCGATGGTGCTGTTCCAATGGTACAAGGACCAGACGCAGCGGGGACGAGGGAGTTCCAGGGCTAGGGGCTGCCCCTTCTTCGTTAAGTGGCTCCCCAGTCGGTGGTCGGTGACCCCACACACCCCAAGGCTCACCCACCGGAGCCCCCTCCCAGCCCCGCGCCTCCGAGGGTGGGTGTAGGGCGTGCCCCGGTGGCCAGCTTGCCTGTTGCCGAGCGACTGCACATTGACTTCAAGTTGGGAGCCACGTGGAGAGGCCGCCCCAAGTGGCCGGATGCATTAGTTAGGGTTCCAGGTGAAGCAAACACTAGAGGAAGATCCTGTTGGAGCCCAGACCCTCGGAGCCAGGCCCAGACCCCGCTTGGAAAGTGAACAAACGGAGGCCTCAGTGAGGAGTGGGCTGGACTGACCACAGTGCACCTGGGACTAACTCTAAGCCTCTGGACTCCCAGTCCAGTGCTCTCTGTGGGACATCAGTCACTTGCCAGGTTGCCATGGGGCCAGGCATCCTGCAGAAGACTTAATGATATGGCCTCTAAAAGCCCTCCGCTCCAGGGAACCTATAGACAATAAAGGCGGTCAGCCTGACCTGAGGTCACAGCCTTGAGTTCAGAGCTCACCGCCACCTCTTAAGAGGTGAGAGACTGTAGCTGCCCATCCCCTGCCCAGCGCTGTTGGGCACATGTGGATAATGGGCTGCGTGGAGCACTGCGTGATGCATGTGGCACGCTTGGCCCCAGGTAATTTTACCACAGCTTTTCTTGTGACAACAAAGTCCTGGAAATAGGTGTGTACAGGTACCTGGGTCACAGCCTGGTCATGACCTGGCACGCTGTGGGTGGGGCATGGGCAGCTGGCTTTCCTGAGCTGGGGCTCTCTCGGACAAGCCAGCCTGCTGCTGGCGTGGCTGAGGGCTTCTGGGTATCTGCAGGTCCCAGCTTCCATGCTGTGTCCATGGGGTCGCCTGGCTCTGCTGCCCCTGGAATGGGGCCCAGGTGTGTTTACTTCACCCACAGGAAGTGGTGGGAGCTGGGGAAATGAGGGGTTTGGCCACCCAGGATCCAGGCTGACATGTCCTCTACCCGGCACCCCAGTGCTGAGAGCCAGGACCCCACCCCCAGCCTTGTATACTGCACAGCGAGGCCTGTCACTGCACCCTGCCCACATGGCCTGGCTCAGACCAGAAGTCAGAGGCAGATGGGGTCAAAGGCCCACCACTGACAGCTAGTGAAGCCCCACCCCTCACATCAGCAGATGCTTGGACGCCTTGGAGATGGGTCATGGGGGGCAGAAGCTGTGTCAGGCTGTTCTTGCTTGTTCATGAAGCATTTATCGAGCACCTACGGTGTGCCAAAGGAGCTCTGGTGGTGTAGTGGTTAAGGCAGCAGGCTGCTAACCAAAAGGTCAGTGATTCGAACCCACCAGCCACTCTGTGGAAGAAAGATGAGGCAGTCTGCTTCTGTAAAGATGTACAGCCTTGGAAACCCAAGAGGGGTCGCTATGAGGCGGAATCAACTCGGTAGCAGTGAGTTTGGGTTTTTGGTTTTACTGTGTACCAGGCACCATGCTGGGGCCTGTGTGGTGGTTTTGTGTGTCTGTGTGTGGGGGTGGGTGGGTGGGCAGAGAGTTCAACAAATGCCTTTGGAAAATCCAGCACCTTCTTTTCTTTCCCACTTCAGAGCCCCTGGGCTGGGCTTGAGGAAGGTGCCGGATAGAAGACTGGAAGCCCCTGGGGAGGCAGGCGAGGGGTGGGTGAGGGTCAGGCCTGGGGCCAGCACATAGTAAGGGGTGCAGTTAGCACTTGTTGAATGAATGAGTGAGTGTCAGTCATGGACAGTAAAGCCACAGCACCCTCCTTGCGTTCCTCAGCCAGGCCCCAGTAGGCACCCTCAAAGGGTGCTGGGCAGTGATGAGAAAGGCCAGGCCCGGCCCTCCCTCTGTAGGAGGGGCTCATCATCTGTTGGGCCAGGGCTGGACACATCAGTCCCCGACTACTGATCATGGCCTAAGAGGCCTGGCCAAGTGCTTTGGGAGCACAGCAGGAAGCCAGTGGGCTCTGGGGAAGTGGAAAGTGTCAGGGAAGGCTTTACAGAGGAGAGGTGTTTTGAGCTGGGTGTTGAAGGATGTATAGGAGTGTTTAGGAAGGACTTGGGGAAGACTCCAGTAGAGCTCAGTGGACACTGTGCTTTAGGCCTGGAAACATGGTCAAGAGTGGGACATTCTGGGAAAAGCCAGCCGCCTGTGTGGTTGCAGGGAGGAAGAGAAGAATCTAGGAAAATAGGTGGGGTCAGATGTGCCATGCTGTGGAGTCTGGGTTTGATTCTGAAAGGAAAGAGAACTGGGACAGCTGCTTGATAAGAGCTGGCTGGCTTGGAAGATCTCTCTAGCAGTGGTGTGGATACAGGGTTGGAGGTGACCAGGTGGGAGTCGGAGACCAGTTTGTCCATTTGTTCGCTCGTTCCCTTGGTACACGTTTGGGGCATTCCTGTGTGTCTATCCAGGGATCTGGCCACGACAGGCACACAAGGCAAAGCCTTCGCTCTCATGAACTGACATTCTAGTGGAGAGAGACAGAAAGTACGCATGTGAGCAGGTGAGCCCATGGGCCAGACAATGCCCTGAAGAACTAAAAACAAGGTGGTGTAGTGCTTAAAGCATCTGACTGCTAACCAAAAGGTTTGAACCCACCAGCCACTCCATGGGAGTAACATGAGGCAGTGTGCCTCTGTAAAGATTTACAGCCTTGAGTACCCTATGGGCGTCTCTGCCCTATAGGGTTGCTATGAGTCAAAATTGGCTCAAAGGCAGTGGGTTAAAGGCAATAGGGATGGGGAGGGACAGTTTGGGGCCAACATGGTCAGGGAAGGCCTGAGTCATACAAGAGGCAGAGGAGCATCCAGGCAGACCAACAGTGTGTGCAAAGGCCCTGAGGTTGGAATGGATTTGTCTTGTTGGAAGAACAAAAGCAGGCCCCTGTGGCCAGAGCTCGGGGAGAGCAACTAGGGTAAAGGTGGAGCCTTTATCGAAATGAGGGGAGCCACAGGGCGGCATGAAGGAGGGCGTGCCCTCGTCTGGTTTCCGCGTAAAGCAGCTTTCGCTGGCTGCTGATGGAGAACGAGTCGGGATGAGGGCAAGAGCGGAAGCCTGGAGGCCAGCTGGACAGGTGCTGTGCGGCCTCCCTGGAGGGAGATGGTGGTGGTTTGGGTGGACCCAGGAGCAGAGGGGACCGGGGCAGAGGTTTAGGGCAGAGTGTTAGCTGGGGTCTTCTATGGAGCTGGAGAAGCCTTGGGGAGCAAGAGAGCTCATAAACCAGTTCCCATTACATTGACTCTGACTCCTGGTGACAGTCTGGTATGGAAGGAAGGCCATGGGGAGGGGTGACGCCAACCCCAGTGACCCCACCATCTGATGGACTCAAACCACCAACTTTTGGTCACTACATGAGTGTGTCACCATCACACCACCCAGGCAGCCTAAGAGCAGTTCAGCCACTGCCATCAAGTCGATTCCAACTCACAGCACTCCTAGAGGACAGAGCAGAACTGCCCCAGTGGGTTTCCAAGGCTGTCAATCTTCACAGAAGCAGACTGCCATATCTTGCTCCCATGGAGCAGATGGTGGGTTCGAACCACCAATGTTTTGGTTAGCAGCTGAATGCTTTAACCTCTGAGCCACCAGAACTCCTAAGAGAACAGTTACCAGAAACCAAAAACAAACTCACTGCCATAGAGTTGATTCTGACTCATGATGACCCCTACTGGGTTTACAAGGCTGTTAATCTTTACCCAAGTAGATTGCCTTATCTCTCCCCCTTGGAGAGTCTGGTGGGTTTGAATGGCCGACCTTCTGGTTAGCATCCGAATGCCACAGGGTCACAAGAGCTCCTAGGAGAGCAGTTAAAAACCAAATCAAACTCACTGCCATCGAGTCAATGCCAACTCACTGCGACCCCCTTTGGGTTTCCAAGGCGGTAGATCTTTTTGGAAGTAGACTGACTGCCCAATCCTTCCGCAGAGTGGCTGATGGATTTGAATCTCCAACCTTCTGGTTAGCAGTCAAATGCTTTAGGCACTATGCCAGGAGAGCAGTTAGGGGCATGTTAGTTCGGGGATGCTGATCAGACACATGAGTGACTGGTGGCCGCTGGAGGCTGGAGCTCCCGGGAGAGGTCAGGGCTGGGGGCGAAGATCCAAAGGTCAGTGGGAGGTGTTCTAAGAGGCCAGGCATCCCATGATAGAGAGGCAGGTCCCCTCTGTTTGCTTAGCTGGAAAGTGGAGAAGGGCCACGCGGTCGCCTGAGTAACGGCCCCCAGTGATGCCTACGTGCTCAGCCCTGGACACTGTGCTATGTTCCCTTAGATGGCTGTCCTGTCATCTAGTGCTGCTGTAACAGTGGGTGGCTTCCACAGACAGAGGGGTCTGCTCTCAGGAGTTCAGGAGGCTGGAAGTCCAAATTCCGGGCGCCGGCTCTGGCGGATGGCTTTCTCGCGCTGGGAGAAGGTCCTGGTCTCTTCTCAGCTTCCGTTTCTGGGTGCATGGGGCTCACACAGGCAGGGATGCAGAGGCTGTGGGGGGGAGCTCCCGCATCACCCTGGGTTTGGGGGCCTCTCTCTGGCTCCCCTTGGAGACGTCTTTGACCAGCAGCATTAAGGGCTTCGAATACCACAGCCAGCCTGGTTGGCCCCTGCATTGGGAATTAGGTGGAGGGCAGGAGTGAACCCAGCTTTTTCCTGGTCTCAGGCTGGTTGAGGAATCCTTGGGCTCTGT